GTCTGTGAAAGGGAATGAAGCAGAGGTGGCTGGGGCCTCCCAACTTCCCTTGAGTCACCCCTGCCTGCTGTGGGAGCCCCATTCTCTCTGCTGTCCAGCTGTCAGTATCACAGTCAGGCACTTCTGTGAGGGCAGTTTCACTCTTGGGATACAATATTAGTACTTTATCCTTCAACCCAAAGCCAGAAAAAAAAAAAAATGACCCATGTGGCCTTGCCATAAACATGACATTTTTATCTCCTATGGTCACTCTCTGCGACCCAGGTCTGAATTCAAGCAGGGTCCAGAACCATCATTTCCAACTGCTTCTCTTTGCTACAAGTCTCTCTTCTTCTCTCTCTCTCTCTCTCTTTCTCTCTCTCTCTCTCTCTCTCTCTCTCTCTCTCTCTCTCTCATCTGCTCTTATTCCCAGCTGCTGTCATTACATACCTTAACAATATTTGATAATGGGCAGTTTTTTCACTCTTTTACAGGAGAAAAACTGAAGAACCTGAGCACTGAATGACTCATCAAGAAACTATTTGATAAGTCAATTTGTTCACTTAAGATGGAAAATTCCAATTCCCTAACACAGATGTCATTTAGAGCACATAGCCTTCTGATTGCAATCTTTGCTTAGTCAGGGGGGGAAGATGCTGAATATTAGAAATCATCTTTCTTCCAGTAAGGGAGCTATCCTATTAGATCTGGAGTAGAAACACTATGTACAGGTTCATCTGCTCCACTTTGCTTGAAGCTCTGTGGATGAAGCAAGGAGATCAATTGGGTTCAGGGTCCTGGAAAACCCTCCTCTTGCTTAGGAGCATTTATACTTCATTTATAAAACAACCAGTGTGGCCATCTAAGTGCCAGGCACCAATCTTGGAGTAATGAGAGGACTACAACACAGTCCCTAATGAATCCACTCTTTTTCTCTCCCTGTGTAATACTTCTGTTATTCAACAATGCCGCAATGGACATACCGTCTATCCATGGAGAGCGAATCACCTTGTGACTTCTGCATGTACCTTCCTTCTAGTGGTCCTAGTTCTCCAGCTATTTGGGATAATTTGATACAATACAATGTTTTGTTGGTTTTTTTTTTAAAGAGACATTGGATGCCAGGATAACCCCAATCTGAATGCAGACCATCACAATGTTCTATGGCTGGAAAGCACAACTGCAAGGTGCCCCGATGCCCAAAGGTGCAACAAGGCATTGATTGGCCAGGGCAGGGAACAGAGAAGTAGGCTATTGTCATTAAATTCAAGGAAGAAAACACAAATCCGGGTATCCATCAAACAGTAAACAAAAGGCAACTATTTTTCCTCTTAAACTCAAGTTTCAACAAAATGAATGCGCTCACTACTTGCTATTAACACTTTCACAATTCAAGCTTACTTTAAAAAACAGGTTACACACCCTAAGAACCTTCTAATTTGTTAGTAATTAGGAAGACTGGCGTGAATAAGTGAAAATTTAGGATTAAAAAACATGTGCCAAATAGGTTTGTTGTTCTTGTTGTTGTTTAAATGAAGGATGGGAGGGAGTTCTGATAACACTTGTTGAGAATCTATGTTCCAGGCACCCTTGTACAAGCCTTTTCCTCACAACTTTTCCAGAAACTACACAGTAATGTACTCATTATTTTTTCCAGATGCAAAAATTAAAGTAACGGTGGTCATTAACATACATTACATTTCCAATTCCAGTTTCTCTGGCATCATTTGTTATTCTCTGAGTCCATGTTTCCCAATGAACTTGTGGACACTGGTTACTAGTTGGTCTTGGGATGGTAACTTTGCATGTGAGGACACAGTCCTGAGGGGGTGTTAACATCCCTGGCTCATGAACACAAAATATCAACAGCAGTCCCTCCATCTCCCACACACCCCTGAAGAGGGCAATGCCCCCTCAGATGAGGGCTACTGGTCTAAAAGATTTTTTTGAGTATCAAGACACAAGACCAAAGAGAGAGGCGCATCCTTTAAAAGTGCCCCCTACCTTCAAATCTCTGGAATCCAAAGCAAGTCCCATGCTCTATGGTAGGGGTGTCGAACTCAATCAGAGAAGGGGCCAAAATCTAAAATCCAGCCTAAATCGCGGGCCGAATGGTTTACTGAACAGTCATAAACTGTCATTGTGATGGAAACGCAACGGAGTGCAGTGATGACAGTGCGGTGCGGGCCACATTGCAAGGCCTGGCGGGACGGATTTGGCCCGCGGGCCTTGTGTTTGACACATGTGCTCTATGGAGTCATTTACAAAAGCTCTGAGCATTTAATTCCCATGCATTCCAAGAGCATTTATTGAGTACCTATGATAGGTCAGGCACTGTGCTGGGAATATAAAGTCAGAAAGTGTGGTCCCAACCCTTAAGGGACTAGGTCTCCTAGTCTAATGAGAAAGAGATTAAGTATGGTCAGAGTTAGGATACGGTAAGAGATTAAGTATGGTAGGGATGCTTGGTGCAGAAGGCACCTCCCCTAGATAGGACAGAGAGCTGAAGGCAGACAAAAAGGGGGTCTGAAACAGGTCCCCAGAAGAACCTCAAAAGACCAAGCAAAAGTAACCAGGAAGGGCCCAGTCTGGGCAGAGAAAACTGCCTTTGCAAAACCAGAGAGAGGAATCATAGCTGTAGCCAAAGTTTAAACTACTTTCTTCTTCAAGTGGAGACCTCCTTGTGATTCAAACTCAGGATCTCCTGTTTACTAGACAGGCAGGTTAACCAGATAAGTCACTAGATTTCTCTTCCTTATAAGTCATCCACAATCCATGTATATTTCCTTCCACAGCCCTTGCTTTTGTGGGTATAATAACCCATCAGACAAGAAATACAACTAATTCTATATTTCTTCCAGGGAGTAGGAAATTGCTTTCAAGTACATTGTGGACTGGCAATCAGTTGGAGTTTCCCTCATTGGGGATACACAAAAGTGGGGAACAGAAGAAGCAATAATGTCACCCGAGAAGTGAGGTAGGAAGAGGGATGTCCATAGATCAACATACCCTTGACCCTAAGCTTAGGGTGAACTTTACCTTGTTGGGATTTTTTTTTTTTTTTTTTGTCAATTTGTTTAATCTAAAGACATGCCTCACTTATCATCAACTCTTAACACACAAAAAGCCAGATGATTCAGTGGCTGGTTGTCAACCTATGAATCAGGAGGTCATGGTTCAATTCCTGGTCAGGGCACATGCCAAAGTTGGGGGCTTGATCCCCAGTGGGGGTCATGCAGGAGGCAGCTGATCAATAATTATCTCTCATCATTGATGTTTCTCTCTCTCCCTCTCCCTCTCTCTCTGAAATCAATAAAAAATATATTGGTTTTTAAAAAGCCAGATCCTCACCCTATTATTACATTTGCACAGAAAACTCAGAAAAGGCCGAGACCGGTTTGGCTCAGTGGATAGAGCATCGGCCTGCAGACTGAAGGGTCCCGGGTTCGATTCAGGTCAAGGGCATGTACCTTGGTTGCGGGCACATCCCCATTGGAGGGGGTGGAAGAGGCAGCTGATCGATGATTCTCTCTCATTGGTGTTTCTAACTCTCTGTCACTCTCTCTTCCTCTCTGTAAAAAAATCAATAAAATATATATTTTTAAAAAACTCAAAAAAGACTTTGGCTATTTGTTTGTTCTTTTCAAAGGCATATATGTTATATATAATTAAAAATATATAGAAATAAATAAATTAGATATTAATAGATACCTAGAGCTGGCCAGCTGGGAATCTCTGAACCTGAGATAGCCCAAAGGCAGTAGTTTCCTGCATTAATGGGAGCTGAGCCCAGGAGCTGGGCTGTTGCTACTTCAGGTGAAGTAATTATAAAGAGCAAGAGTTAAATTAGCTTCATTTCGTTCACCTGGGGTGGGGAGCAGAGAGGGAAGCAAGCAAGCCCTTATGACTCTTTATTGCCTCCAGTCTACAAGGAACAGGCTCATTTCCCCTTGGCAGGAAGCCTGATGCAACTAGCAGGCATGCCCTCTTTTTCTTACCTCCTACCCCAACCCCTACCGCTACCCCTCTGACCTGAGCCACACTCAGGAACCACAATTCTGTAGGTGAACTAGGCTCCCTTTAGTCCCATGGTTTTTGTTTTGTTTTGTTTTTCATTTTATCAATGTGACCTCTAATTTGACATCACAACCACGTCTGGTCCACATATTCCACCCCCTCTCCCGCCCCCCAAAAACTGACCCCCCACAAGAAAGCCTGTGTTCCGAGCTAAGAGAATCTGAAATGAAAAAACGGGATCCCTCACACACCGCCTGTCCCTGCTTTCAACCAGGAAGTTTAAAGGAGTTAACACTGCTGAGCCCAAACTGCAAAGCCAAAGGCTTCACAGAATCATACCAGGAAAGAGGCAGGTGGTCTTTGGGGTGGAATTCACCCAAATCGAATATGTTGGTTCTCCTTTTTATCCCTGGCTGATTCCATTTCCTTTCTGTAAAACTTTGAAATCCCAGGAGGGTTGTATAAACAGAGACAGGTGTAGGGGCACCTCCACTCCCTCGGTGCATCTGCTGTTTCCCCGGCCAGAAGCATAGGACGAGGGGCCCTGGATTCCTGGACCCAATCGCAACGCATGCTTCTTGATGACGTACCTTGCCAGGGTCCTCGCCAAGGTGTGTGGGGGGCAAGCGAGCATCCCCTGCCCAGAGGCCACCCCGCTGATCGCCCAGAGGGAGGGGAACAGCGAAAGGGGCACCTGGGGCTAAGACCTCCGGCCTGTCTCGCAGGCTTTCCCCCCATTTCCAGCACATCCTTGCACAGTAGGGACACTGCGTCTCCAACAGTAAAGTCCTGCGCACCTACGTGTCTTTCCAAAGCAACTGAATAAAGCGCCTATTAGCCTCCTGAGGCTCAGGTGAGCGCCAAGAGGTGTAGGAGGAAAGGGCCGGCTCGCCCCCACCCTCGTTCCTCTCCTCCCCACGTTCCCCCAAGATTCACCGGGGGGATGTGTATTATTGGGGTGCGCGGGTGAAGACGGGGCTTAAAAATGCCCAAGCGTCCCTTACCTTCCACAGCCATTCTCTCAGAGCTTCCCTAACGCATGCATAATTTTCTTGGCCGAGGTATTCCTCCTTCCCCGCGCAACCCCCCTCCTGGCGCTTTCGCCTAAATATTCTGCGCTCATCTGCTCCAGGACCAACCTGCCGCGGTCACGCAGAGACAGGCAGCCGGCTCCCAGCTCCGCGCAAGGCCGCCTGGGAAGTGTAGTTCCCTCCCTTAGCTCCGACCCCGCTAAAACACCCCGAATCCTCGGTGGGGCGCGCCCTCCCCTCCACACTCGGACTGCAGCTATGGTTTCAGCCGATCCACGCAAAGAAATCCTTCCTGGGGGGGGGGGGGGGTTGGTAAGCGGACAGGGGGACCCCCTGGAGGTGATAGGGACTACATTTCCCAAGATGTCCTGAGCTGGATTTCGTTCCGCACTTAGAGACCTGATTGAGAGCTCCCTTTCAATTAGAAGGGAGTAAGCACCTAGCGGGGATAGCGTGGGAGGCGGAAGGAGGCAGGGTTTGTGGTGTGATCCCTTGAGCTTGTTTTCTGGCCTCTTTGGCCACCCTTTTAATGAGGACAGCCGAACCACCAGCAGACTGTGGTTCATCGACTGGGTTGGAGAGCCATTGCACAGGGTGCTGTTGGAACTTGTTCCTCTACGCCCTGGGATTGGTGGGGTTTGGCTGAATCCTGGCAAGTGTGGTTCAGGGGGCTAACACTTAGCTAAGGGTTGGCGGATGGCCTAAAATTTCTAAATAAGCATCATTCCTAAGGAGCAATACCTAGGAACCAGGGTTCCATCTGAGGATGTCAAAGAGGGAAACCTGTCTGACTTCGAAGGTAAGAAGCTTCCCAGGTGCCTGGCCTGGGACCTGTCCGGGGTCTCTGACTGGGCCTAATAATTAACAGCACCCCAGAATTAGTGTGCTTTCAACTTCTGAACCGGTGCCCCAGTTACAGGTGCTGGGAGTACCTTGAACACACAGCAAAGAGAGAGTCAAGTGGAGGGTAGTAGCATTCCAGAGTGGAAGTTGTCAAACTTTTCCCCCTGTGTGTGGAAATACAGATGTGCTATAGCTTGGTAGAGAGGAGGAAGGGAATGGCCTTGGGAAGAAAATGGACCCAGCACTGCAGTGAGCCTTTGAAAGGCCTTGAGTTTGGAACTGTACATGGTACCACTTCTCTTCCACCCAGTCCCCAGCATTTCTGTCCCCACTCTTGAAAGAAAGAAAGAAAGAAAGAAAGAAAGAAAGAAAGAAAGAAAGAAAGAAAGAAAGAAAGGACAAAGTAAATAATAACTAAGGAAGTACAAAGATCTGATTATTTCCATTATCATGACAAATTTTCTTTTTTGTCATATATATATATATATATATATATATATATATATATATTGCTTGTTTGTTTGTTTTTACCACTAAGTACCTATGTGTTTAGCCCTCTCAATAGGTAACATAGCTGTGTTTGGGTCTTTTAAAAAGACCTGTGTGTATCCATTAAAGGCCCTAATGATACTTTAACTCTGAATCCAGATCACTGTGTGCACATCAAACCCAAGTCTTCCAGCTTTGGTAAAAAGAGACCTGTTCAGTGAGACAGAACCATTTTCCCAACCACACATGCAACCAAGCACTCCAAAAACCTGGGAGGAACTGAAATCCAGGTGCTGTCTTTCCTCTCAAGTATACAAAATGACCAACGCATTCATTTCCTTAGATTGAATGAATGGAAAAGAAAGTCATGGAAGGAGAGGCAAGATCAGTAGTTCTCAATATTGTGCATCAGCCCTTTACAAACACACTTTCCTAAGCCCGCCTTAGTCTTACAGAATGAAGATATTTTTTGAGGTTTGGGGGGCTGATGTTTTAAAAACCCATAGGTGATTCTACTCTGTAGCAGGGGCAAAAACTATTGGTTTGCTCTCAAGCTTTTAAAAATCTAGGTGATACTAAAATGTGAAAATCATTGAAATTCATTTTTAATTTAAAAACCTCATTTCATTGAAGCTCAGCTTTTAGGCTAAGGTCAGGTATGAAAAGATCATTTCACCTGAACTTTTAAAGAGCCTTCTCAACCGATATGCAGTTTGAATTTCATTTAGTGTAAGTAAGATGTGAAGGAAATATTTGTTTCACCATACTAAATAGCTAATATTTGACTTTTAAAAAATCTATAAACAGAGCAATTTTATGTGTTTTTACCTACTGAAGCAGGGGTCTTCAAACTTCTCTCATTATGAGAATCACCTGGTGGAGGTGTTAAAACACAGATTCCTGATAGCACTTCTTATAGTTGGGATCCGGGAATCTGTGTTTTAACACCTCCACCAGGTGATTCTCATAATGAGAGACGTTTGAAGACCCCTGTACTGAAGGATAAACCAGTTAAACAGCGGTTTTCAATTCTGCATAAATATTAGAAGCACCTGGGAAGCTTTAAAAAAAAAAAAACACACAAACATTTCCAGTCGAATGGCCAAAAGAAAAAAGACAGAAAATACCAATTTTTAGCAAGATTGTGCAACAGTAAGGACTCATGCATACTGTCCAAACTGATACAACCACTATGGAAAACCATTTGGCATTTAAGCTGAATATGGGCTTATTCTGTAATACAGCAGTTTCAATCAAACATATCTTCATACAATTTTCCAAAAGACATACAGAAACGTTCATAGCTATGTTATTTGAATAGCTACAAACTGGAAACAATCCAAATGTTCATCAACAATAGATTGGATGAACAAATTGTTTAACCCAACCATCCTCTATAGTAGAGTTCGGCAAACTATGGCCTAGGGGCCAAATATCACTCACTGCTTATCTTTGTATGGCTCATAAGCTGAAGATGGTGTTTATATTTTTAAGTGGTTACAAGAAAATCAAAAGTAGAATATTTTGTGACCCACAAAAATTATAAAGAAGTACCCACACAATATTCATAATTTTGCTTTTTGGTCTGCAAAACAACATATTTCCTATCTGGCCCTTTATAGAAAAATGGTTCTTCAAAATCTTTATAGAAAAATGGTTCTTCATTCATAAGATGGGAAAGAATGAATAAAACAACATCATTGAACCACTTGTATTAGTTACCTTTTGCTGGTAACAAATTGCCTCCTAATACAGTGGTTTAAAATAATACCCTTTTATTATCTCAATGTCTATGAGATAGGAAGTTGGGCAGCTCCTCTGGACCCTCTGCCTCAGGGTCTTTTACAGATGACAATCAAGGCATTGTCTGGGTTGAAGTCTCATCAGGTCAAGATCTGTTTCCAAAATCACATGGCTGTTGGCAGATTTCAGCTCCAAAATATACCTATAGAAACTAGGCTTTGCATAAGGTAAATTTATTTATCATTCTCAAGAAGGCTTGAGAAGTAGGACCCAATCCCAATTGTGTGTGTGAATAAGTGATGGGAAGGGAATTACTCACAAGGGGCAGGTGCTAGAAGTAAAGTGAGTTTTAACCAATTCACCAAGGACCAAGAGTACATGGTTATCAGGTGTGATCCCCAAGGAGCACCTCCTTGTTCCTCTCACCTTCAAGGGCAGGAGAGTAATATGGATAACACCTCTGCAGCCTTTTCTCTTTGGGAAACTCTGTGCTTTGTTATTTTCCCAGAGCCCCCCCCCAAAAAAAAACAAACAAACAAACAAACAAAAAACAAACAAAAACAAAAAACACCACAAACAACAAAAAAAACACCAACATATTGGTTGTCACAAAAGAAAAGGATGGAGTTGAGCCTTCATGATGAGAGGTGAGAAAGGCCCATCACTTGTCAGAAAGTGAGAGTCGAAATTCATGCCATCGTTGCCTGAGAGAAGGCACTGCAGGTGCTGATGACAGATTACTGTCCTCATAAACCTGAAGGCATGATCTAGGGCTCAATCTTAATGTCTGTCAAACTCAAAGAAGGGAGAGAAAAATGGGGACGGAGGACATGATTTAGATTGCACCTGGGAGAGAAGGAATGCAGTGCGCCCAAGAGGTGCCTTGAGAGATAAGGCAACCATTCGCAGGGTGCAGGCCCAGGTTTTGCTATCACCTTGCCTTTTCCAATCCCTGATAACTCTTAGAGAAAAATGTGCCATGTGAAAGGTGTTTCTGGGAAGTCTGGTTTTATTCAAGGAAATGCAAATCTTATGGGGTAGGGAAATATTCAGCTGAATTTTGCCCCATTGTTTTTAAGGCTGATGGGGTGGTATCTGTTAGGTGTCTTAAATGATGCGGTGTGTTATTGTTAAGGTGGTCTCTGTCTCCCTAATACATCCCTTCCATGGACCCTTTGGGGTCCTTCATTCTCATCTCCTGCACTGGTCTCAGGAAAAGAACAAAGCTAACCATAAAGCATCCCCTTGGCCCTGGTTCCTTAGGGTGCTGCCTCACAGGTGCGGGATGCTGTGTTGACTCTGCCTTTGGAGGCAAAGTGAAGGTCCCTGGAAGCGTACAGACCCGAGTTTGAAATCTGCCTCCCACTACATTCCAGCTGGGTGGACTGAAATAAAGTAATTACTATCTTTGGGTTGATATTCTCATCGTAGAGGTATGAAGGTCCTAAGGAGAAATGCAAGTTTGAAAAATTACCAAACTAGGTGACCTTGAGGTCATTTCCTGCTATAAAGTTTTATGATTGTGTGAGTCCTCCTTCTTCCTGCTTCCTCATTCTTATAGAAATTAGTGACCTAGACCAGTTCATCCTTAACAATTTCTCCCTTGACTGTCCTCTTCTTATCCCTTAGCCACTGATAAGGACTAGAATGGAAAGGTTGTAGCGGTATCTCAAAAAGTCAGTCATTCTTACCTCCAAATAATTTCCCACGATCACATAAATCTCTAGGAATATCCTCCTTGGTGATGCCCTTCCAGTGTTAAATGCAAGCCCTTCAATGGCTGTGTAACAGACCTTACATAAAGGACCAAAGACAGATATTAGTACATATCAATGGATGGTTTTTGGAGAATGCAGTCTTAAAGTTGATTAGTTTCCAGTATTGATGGGATATCATGAAGACTCTGATAAGCAATGGTACATGTGAATCTTCCTGAGGTTCTTCCTCTCCAGGTTGTTGGGGGCAATCACAGGTTTCAGGTTGTCCATTTGAAAACTGTTTCTTCCCACTGTGCATCTTCCCTGACACTTCTCCCTTTGAACACCTGAAAATACAAAAAGCCATATC